GTTGATACAAAGTTGTAGGTAATGACCACGTGCTGTTGATACATAGATGTAGGTAATTACCATGTGCTGTTGATACAAAGATGTAGGTGATGACCACATACCGTTGATACAAAGTTGTAGGTAATGACCACGTGCTGTTGATACAAAGATGTAGGTAATGACCATGTGCTATTGATACAAAGATGTAGGTAATGACCACGTGCTGTTGATATATAGATGTAGGTAATGACCACGTGCTGTTGATACAAAGATGTAGGTAATGACTAGTGCTGTTGATACAAAGATGTAGGTAATGACCACATGCTGTTGATACATAGTTGTAGGTAATGACCACGTGCCGTTGATACATAGATGTAGGTAATGACCACGTGCTGTTGATAAAAAGATGTAGGTAATGACTAGTGCTGTTGATACAAAGATGTAGGGAATGACTAGTGCTGTTGATACAAAGATGTAGGTAATGACCACGTGCTGTTGATACATAGGTGTAGGTAATGACCACGTGCTGTTGATACAAAGATGTAGGTGATGACCACATACCGTTGATACAAAGATATAGGTAATGACCACGTGCTGTTGATACATAGTTGTAGGGAATGACCACGTGCTGTTGATACATAGATGTAGGAAATTACCATGGGCTGTTGATACAAAGATGTAGGTAATGACCATGTGCCGTTGATACAAAGATGTAGGTAATGACCATGTGCCGTTGATACAAAGATGTAGGTAATGACCATGTGCCGTTGATACAAAGATGTAGGTAATGACCATGTGCTGTTGATACAAAGTTGTAGGTAATGACCATGTGCCATTGATACAAAGTTGTAGGTAATGACCCTGTCTCGTTGATACATGGATTATATTTCTCAATTATCAAGCTGAGAATTGTATACGTCAAGATATATATTTTAAAATATTTATTTAATGTTAATGTTATAATATAACATCAACATTTAATAAAGATTTTAAAATATACTTAGACATCTTTATATAATGTTCATGTTAGATATGTCATGATATAGATAAGAATACTTTATTTATTGTTCATGTTATATACGTCACGATATACTTAAAATCTTTATTTAATGTTCATGCTATATATACGTGTACTGGGTTTGCGATGTGAAAGGATTATTAAGAGATGAATCGAAACAACTTCACTCTTCAACTTTTCATTTTATTCCCGGAACAGGAAGTCAAACAATATAACATTGAAACAAGATACGGAGACGGAATAGCATATAATACACAAAAATGGCTTTACCAGCATTACCACTAAACAGTTTTGTTTTCAGGAATATTTTAAGAGTACACGATGACTTCAAAGTAAGCATGTCAGAAAACCAGTAAAAACAACGTACGTCGACGAAATTTTGGAGGATTTTAAAGGTGTTAAATATAAGCATGTTTAAATGTTGATTTCTGGTCCTTATAACCGGATAATATTAAAGTGCATAAATACAATTGTAGTTCAGTATGGTATTTATAAAAGCAATATATTTTGTTGCAGTCGGCACATCAACTAGTAGAATTAAAAACAAGTTTCATAGCCTGTGATATAATGTACCAATTTGGGTCCTAATCACAGCCGAAAAACGGACAAAATCTCACTGCGAGATTAGCGTTCTATTTTCAAAAACAAATTACTTATAATTTAAAACATTTTCTGAAAATGAACCACCATAGGTAGTCTTTGTCAAGAATCAAGAAACATTCCAGATACAAGATCTGAATTTTTAAATATCAATGAAAAACTGTCAAAATTGTACCAGGGACGTATAATGGAGGGGATTAGCGACTCCCTCTTTGCCTTACGAATTTTGTGACACGTCAATCTAGACTTACCTCCCCCTGATTCAGGAGCAGATAGCGAGCGCCACCTATCTCAATTTTGACAAAGCAAGATGGCGTTGATACCGCTTCGTTAGATACAGAAGTTGGCGTGAAAACAAACCAAATCGCGATAAGTGTTCTTACGTCTTTTGTTTATCCCGTTGTTATAAGCTGATCGTATTACTTATAATTGATAAAATCTGTGGTATCATAGTAATTGATGTCTCGTTTTTGGGGTATATTTTTCTATTTTTAAACGTGATGTAACGTGTGGTTCAGAGTATTGTGGTGGGCGTCGATAGACAAAAATGCGGGATAAAAAAAAACAACACATGTATGTGAACCACCTCACTCCAAAAGTATTTGACCGATCTTTTTTAAATTAGCAGCAATAGAAAGCTGAATAATTTTTATAACGACCCAACCCATTTTAATTGCAAATAATATAA